AACGAGGTACAAGTTTTCGTTATTTTTCGTATGTTACGCATTCATTCACAATTGTTTATTGTTACCCAAATAAACAAGAAAAATTATGTAACAGTGGAGTTTTACTTATACAGTGACTTGGTTCCAATCCTCACTGATTCATCAAGGTCAATACTTTTATGTAAACGTATTATGATGTACCATTAATTGTTTTATTTATGAAATAGAAACGAATAAAAAACCTTATGAAATCAAAAACTATTTTTATACCTAAAGCAATCCTTAGATGGAATGTAGATATTTTAATTCAGGGGGACTAAAAGTTGTACGAACGACCTTCTGTGACGTTATCGTTTCCGGGTATAAGAATACTAATACTATCTAATTGAATGCATTTTAAGTATTATATCTATAAACTAGCTTAGATTTTTACGTAATTACTTACTAAATCAGTAAATTTTATACTCAACACATACTAGGTACCTACTTACTGTTTTCAGTAGTTGCAAAACTCCCAATTGACACAGAAAACTAAGCTATGCTTTTAATTCAAACTTTTACTTATGTAACAAATGAACCATTTACCATTAAAATCATGCTAAAATATTAAATAAATAAACTTCAATGTATTTTAACACCGTTTGTGTTTACTTAATGCATGACAGTAAAAAAATCCCCATTAAGACATGCGGTAGCGTGTCCAGCCAAGTTCAATCCAATGGAACTGGCGACACAGCACTGTGTGTATATTTTACGCGAACCATTTGCCACTTTTCACCTCGTAATATTATTATTACAATTTCTCTTGAAATTTGGTTCATTTATTAAAGAATTATATACATGCATATATTATAAACTATTTAAGGAAAATCCGAAAATATATTTTATCTAAAATTTGAATAAAATATATATTTAATTAACACTTGCGCCTTATAAAACATAATCGCAATAGCTTACACCTAATGCCTTTTAAATATAATGGCAATAGCAATCATAGTAATAGCAAAAACTTTTCTTTTTTTACATACAAGTTATTTTATATTCAGCTAATCACTTATATATCTTTTTTATGCTATACCCAAATTACTGTTTTATATGTAAGGGCAACATATCTTACACTTCTAAAAACCGGCTTTACTAGTAAAAACTAGCCAAGTCAAATCTTAAACTTCAACTTATCCTAAGTTATCTACTCTGTGTAAATAATTTGATTGCTCAAATTTAAGAAGTTCTATTTTTAAATAGCAAACACTTTTGTAGCAGAAAAAGAAACAAGAAATTGTGTTTTAAATTTATTTTAGAATTTTGTATGTTTTTATCAAATAAATCAGGATTATCTACAGAACTTGGCACCTATTTAGAACTCAATTCTTTTGTTGATGAAATTGACAACTACGCATATTCTTAATATTGAACTTGGCTCCCACTATCACATTTATGATTTTGTTAGGACTTATTTATCCCTAACGAACTGACTTACTTCGTTTTAACGGTTAGTATGGAATAGAAAAACTCTGTGAAAAACAAAAACAAACTTTTCCACGGAAACCGTACAATTTTCTAGGATAAAAAATAACCTATGTGCTATTCCAAACTATAATCTATCTCTGTGCTAAATTTCATCCAGATCCGTTCAGCCGTTCTGGTTTGATTGAGTAACAATCAAATTCGTTTGTTCGTTCCTCGTTTGTTTGTTTGTTAGTTGAAGGCTATAATAATATGTTATATATCATCATGTTACTACCCAAAGGAGCGGAATAGTAATCTATATATACATATACTAGCAGCATCCGCGGCTTCCGCGCGGTCAACTTCCGATCGCAAACAAAATCACAGGATCACCCTATCGATCGCTGGGCTAATCTAAAGATTACCTGAAAATTTCAATAAAATCGCTCCAGCTATTTTGGAGTCGATAGGAAACAAACATACACACATCGATTTTTATTTTATTTAATCAACGATTTAAATTTATTTGTTGCCCGGAAAATGGAGTCTTTTATGAAAATTTAGTGACACACCAACTTTAGCGCCACCTCCCGGATCAATTTGTAAATTCAAACACTTTTACTTTTACAGGGACCCTTGGACCACTTGAACATACACAAAGAATAACATTAAAATCGTCCCTGCCGTTTTGTTGGTTTTTTAACCCCCGACACAAACAGGGCTGCCTGTGCGGGTGTGTGTATGTCTTTCTGTGGCATCGTAGCTCTCAAACGGATGGACCGATTTCGATGTGGTTTTTTTTTCATTTGAAAGCCAGTTTCCTTGCGGTGGTTCGGTAGCTGTGTATGGCTCATATCGGTCTAGAAGTGTAGCGACGACCGACGAGTTCAGCAATTTTCCAAAATGCATTTTGGCGTATGATTACCTACTCGATTAAGTGCTTCACGCGTGCCAGTGTAATCGTTAAAAATGACAATTATTTGCGTAGAGGGTTTTTAAAATTTGTAATTTATAATGTCTATTTTTGTTTTCAACCCCACTCGAACAAAACAAAATAAATTGATTATAATAATATAAAAAAAATTAAAAAGGTAAAAGGGGGTAAGAAAGATTATATGAGCAAAAAATTATGTATGATCAGAATTACTTGAAACTATTAATGTTCTTCAATATAATTAAATAAATACGTGTTTACCATTTTTTGAAATTCATACCATAAGGGGCCAAAATGGGAAATGAAAGTTTGTATGAAACTCTGTAATTAATATGGAAAAAGTACAAAAAAAATACTCACCCGTAGACCTTTTAAGAGTTTTAAAATCACTTTCTTTAAAATGATGTCCACTTATAGCGTCAAATAATATAAAGATTGTGATGTCACCAAGTTTGGTCGCCTTATTGCTTTAGCCCACAATTTCTTCAGTTGTAGTCTTTTGGGAGCAAATGATATCCGTTTCTTTGCATCCTGGCACTGCACAATTTGTCATTTTAATTAAATTAGAAATAAAATGTAAAAATATCCATCTACGATATAGAGCTTTACAATATACTGAAGGCTATAGTGATCGCGACATCTGGCGAGAGAAAAGAGCATAATTCTTCTCCAAGTCACTTCTATTTAATAATCTGTGGATTGTGGACCTATAACCTCATTCAAGGAGGGTAGACCCTCCATAAACTTCCAGAATGTAGATCATAATATTGGAAACTGATTAGGTTTGGGCAAGAGAAAATGATATATCAATATTTATATCGCATTTTAAACAGTATTGTCAATAGTTATCGAGTGAAAAATATCGATACGTTGTCAGTTTTCGCATGATTATTCTGAATAAGGTCATAGACAAGACAAAAGCAAATGAATGCTTTTGCTATGTCTCTGGGCTATGTGCTCTTAAGACTACTATAGAAATAAGTGTGTATTGTGTATACGTATATCCACAAGAAATTTCGTTCCGCCTTTTTAGTGGCGCTGTCAATATACATGTATATAACTCGCGTCATCTAAAAAGAACGCTGGCTGTCAAGCTGCGCAGAAGCGATTTATTGGTCAAATTGGTGGTAAGAAGCGGGGCGCGGGGCAGCTCGGGGTAGCGGGGCACGCGCCGCATGCTTACCGGGCACGCTATTGGTTCGTCAGTTCGAAATACCATCGCGCACACAAAAGTTTTTAATTACGAAATGGTTTTATACATAGAAAAGAAAAATTGTTTTTGACGTATATTGTTTTACAAAGAGAGAGTCTAATAATAATGTAGTTAATAATTAATCTTAACATTAAATTATTTAAAATCTTTAATTAATTTTACTTTTTATTCTATGTGTAATTACACATAGAACAGTTATATGGCTTTAATAATTAATACTACATTTTATATTTTTCTTTATGGTTATAAATATAATAATGGCAACACTAAATATAGATTACTAATTAATATTTTAAAATTGTAATAATTATAAAAATAATAGCAAAATTAAATAAATAATTTTCCATATTCAATTATAATTAAAATTATAAAAATGTTTAAAGTTAAAAAATATTGTAATGTAATTGGTGCAATTTTAATTTTGTTAATTGTGGGTAGGCTGTCTGTAACAACTATACATTCAAGACATGTAACACCTCAGTCTCTCCCGTGACCATGGATGCTGTAAAGCATTCGAAACGTCGGGAAACAAAAATCCAAATAAATCCGCGACAAAATCCGAAAAGATAGTTTTATTTAAAAGGTAGGCTTTAATTACTTAGCCATATTTAATTGTATTGAAGAGCGTTAATACCAAGTTTCAAATAATTCTGATCATACATATTTTTGTGGGCTGTATTATAACGTGTTTCCCCGTGGAAATGAGATAATCTTCCGCGGTAAAAAGTAGTCTTTACCACTCTCCAGCCCTCCAACTACGAATTATCTTCACCCAAGAAATTACCCCAGTCCGTTACTCCGTTTCGACGTGAAAGAAGGACAAACAAATAAACATACTTTCACATTTATAATATTAGTATGGATATTATAACGCTGTCATTCGGTTGAAACGCTATGACGGGAGTACGGACGACAGCGATTAAGTTAAATACTGTGGCATCTTATTCGGTTGTAATAGGAGCGATTTTGCAACATAAATATATAGTCTGAAATGCTGACGACTGTACAAAACATGAACACAACGAACGAATCGCCGCGTTTGCGTAAGATCAATCGCGTACTCGCTTGATTCGTTCATTTACCACGCAAATCCAATTCGAGTCAGAGAGAATTCAACTCGAGTTAATTCGAGTTAAGACTTAAGCCCAACTCGAGTTAACTCGAGTTAGTAACTCGAGTTGACACATCTTTATGATAAATGATAAAATATAAATGGCAATTGGCAAGTGGCAACAGTCGCAACACCAAATTTGAGAATGTACGAACTACGAAAGCAGAATTATATTTTAAAACTTAATACATAATATAAGAATTTTGTGTACGGTTCATTGCATAGATTTTTCTTGTACTTATTAAACTTATTTTCTGTAGTACATATATGAGTGTAAATACTTAATTAAGAAAGTTGTTAAAATAACTAGAAAAATGCTCATTATGACATTTTTATTATTTCCTCTCACTCTGTGTTATGGTGATAAAACTGTAAAGTATGCTGCTGTTATATATAGACATGGTGACCGGACTCCTGTAGATTCTTACCCCACTGACCCTTGGCGTAATGAATCCCTCTGGCCGGTTAAATTCGGTGAGCTCACGAACACAGGCAAAAGACAACATTATGCTCTAGGGAAGTGGCTTAGAAAAAGATATTCAGTAAGTTTATGGATTATTGGGCACATAAAATCAAGACAAAAGATTTAAACCTATATTTTATTTAAATTATATTATTGTTTTTATTCTTGAGAAATATACCATCTTTATTTCAATTATTATTGTGAAAGTATGTCAGCTAATTGCTGCTCCTTCATGGTCAAAACCTAGAAATTAATGATGATGTCTATTTTTGAATTCATGATGTTTAAAAAAATATATTGTTTCTAAAATATGACTTTTCATAGGATACTAAATCTATCTAGAAGTATACCTACCTATAAGTATTTATAATAATTGTATATTTGCAGCATTTACTTTCGAAAGAATTTGACCCTACAGAGATATACATAAGGTCAACAGATGTTGATCGCACATTGATGTCAGCACAAGCCAACTTAGCAGGTATTCTAATCTATATTTAACATTATATATGTCAAAAGGACCTCAATATATTTTTAATTGCTTTTAGAAGTTTATTCTAGTGTTTTAAAAGTAACTTGAAAGTTGATTACTAAAAATCCTGTTTTGAATGTTTTTTTATAATTTATATTTATCACTTTTACCCATTTGTTATTATTATTGAAAAAACCTTTTGACTACCCACCATCATTTTCTTGGCTACTTTTGCAGGATAATGTTGTATAGACATTATAAATGATTGATAGATAGGTAGATACAGAAATAAAACATGTGACAAGACATGCAATCTATTTCAATATTTTAATTTTAGGTATGTATCCACCATATGGTGATTCTGTCTGGAACATGGAGTTAATGTGGCAGCCTATACCTGTTCATACAAGACCAGAAAAAGATGATGAAGTTTTAGCAATGAAAAGGAAATGCATTCCTTATACTAAAGAAAAAGAAAAATATATACATTCAACACCTTACAAAGAAAGACTCAGTAAATATCAAGGACTTATGGAGTAAGTGTTGTAATAGCTTCTCAAAAAATGTATGACTCGACGTAAAGAGTTGCTTTTGAAGTTAATCATGGTGTTTATTTCCTCCTTTTGTTTCAGTTACTTGACTGCCTATACAGGAAGAAAAATCAAAGATTACTCTGACATAAATGATATATATAATGTATTGTTTATTGAGACATTATATAATTTTACACTTCCTAACTGGACTCAATCTATTTATCCCAATAAATTGAAAGAACCGTCATGTTACAGGTAAAGTAAGTCAGTTTCTACACAAAAATGGATAGAATAGATATTTTTAATGTATTCAAACATTATAATGCTTTTAAACTGTTATTAGGTTAATGCCCATATTATCATTATAAAATATAATAGGTTTCATTATATTTCTTATTTTTCCAGTTTTGTCACATCAACTGCTACACCACAAATGGCTCGTTTAATGGTTGGGCCATTATTGAAAGAAATTGTAGGAAAAATGAATCAGGTAATTCAAAAGAAGAATCCAAATCCCTTAAAATTGTCGATATACAGTGGCCATGATTTCAGTATTGGAAATATTTTAAATGCTATTGGGGTATATGATGGCAACTGCCCTCCTTACACGGCTACTATATTCTTTGAACTCTTACAAGGTATGTCAATATTAATCTATATGCTTTATGACTTCACCTGTAAAGCATTACATAAACAATTTAATTCATTTTATGGAAATTTATAAATGTATCCTGAAAAAAATTTTCTATTGGTTATAATAGTAATTCTAGTTATCCCTACTTATCATACTGACTTCCATCTTGGGATTTAGTACTCAGTTTAAACTTTGAACTTTAGGTGTCCTTTATATTGGCTGAGTGTTACTATTATGAAATAGTGTGTTGTCAAAGTACAAATGTCAGAAAACAAATAAAGGAGAATGTATGAAGCTTCAAAAAGATTAAAATTCTTAACCTGATACATACTGCTGTACTTAATGTCTAGAGATTAACACATACCCACAAAAACTACTTCTGATATCACTTGCAAGGTATACAGAAAGAATAGTGCCAAGGTATTAATCTCTATGTACCCCTTTTGCTTCTACGATTGTTATCATTTACTTCATAAATTCGCCTCTGGGTATCCACAGACTTTTGACTTGACCTTTATGTATTAAAACACTTCGCTTTAAAAGTCTCTTAAGATCTCCTCCTATTTCGTCTTCTATTCACTCTACCACAGTATATCTTAGTCATTCTTTCATCATTCATTTTTTAATGTGACCAAATCATTTTAGCACATTATTCTTCATTCTTACTACACTTCTTTTGCACCTTCCATCTTTTAAGAGATCATATATATATATATATATATATATATATATATATATATATATATATATATATATATATATATATATATATATGCTGCAGGAAATAGTTATAAAGTTGAATAAGTACAGTTAAAATTGCCCTTAATATTTCAGATAATTCTACTATGAAGTACTTTTTACGAATGTCATACAGAAATACAACGGAAATTATAGAACCATATGTCATAAATATACCACACTGTGGTGACATTTGCCCATATGAAAGATTTTTAAAGTTATATGACAATCTTGTCACTGTCGACTGGAATTATGAGTGCACTAAACAGGTAATAATAAATATAATATATATAGTTTAATAAAATAATGTATGGAAGTCGGCCCAATTTGTTGACATTTATAATTACTGCTTCGCTCCCTTGGGTTGTAGCTTGATGATATATAGCCTATCCTATATATATCCTATATAGCCTTCCTCAATGAACGGGCTATCTAATGCAAAAAGAATTTTTCAAATCGGATAACTAGTTCCTGAGATTAGCATGTTCAAACAAAGTCTGCCTTTTTATAATATTAGTACAGATAAAAAAGTAAACCATATTTTATTGGATATGATGATGACAGAGATAGATTATAGTCTGGAATAGCACATTGGCTACTTTTTATCCTGCAAAAATTTACAGTTCCTGTGGGATAGATTTGTTTTTCAACTAAAGGGAGGGTTGAGCCCTTAGTATAATATATACACACAATGTGACTTAAATTATTATTTAGATAAACACAACTTCAATATTAGACAGCAAAAACTTTTTTAAATTATTTATTTTGTTTATATAGGGAAGATTAAAAATAATTATTATTGTTAATGAAAACAAAAAATAATAATGTTGTATATCATTAAAAGATTTGTGAAGTGAGTACTTACATTATATTATTAATAGGGTATATTAGTATTTTAGTACATTTCTTTAATAGATTAGAGAATTATTATTAGAATATTTATAACTTTTTGGTAGTAGGTATAATACTTGTTTTGAAATTTTGTTTTCCAATCCCAGTAATTGCATGCAGTGCACTAATTTTAGTTTCAACAAATGTGTTGTTTTTTACTATAATCTCATACAAGTGCAGACTAATGATAGTTCCTGTGTAGAGCACATAATATGTATATTGAGCATTATTGTAATTAAAATATTTTGCACCGGTATTCCAATATTTTTTTAAGTGCAAACTTCTATAGGCCGCTTAGATGGGGAGGAAATTCATGTAAGGCGTCATTGACATGTAGGACATTTAGGCCTCCTGGCATGTTGACACTTAGGGCCCCGTATCCAAAAGGCTAAATCGGAACCCTTATAATTTCGTTATGTCCATAATATGTCACAGATATTTTACTAAATTTGATTGGGTTGGTGTCTTATAAAAAAATAAAAATAGGGGTGGCATGCATGTAAATGTTCTGTCTAAAAAAAGTTAAGTTTATTTATTACTTTTAAGTTTATTTTTACTTATTTTCTTTTTTCCATATATTATTTTATTTCTAACCTGCCTAAACGGTTACAGCCCACGCTGATAAAGCAACTCAACAGCCAGCTTTTATCCGACTTTAATTGTAGTTATTATATTTCTGATAATAAATACATTTTTGCCTGAATAAAAAGTAGCATCTAACACTCGGCAGAAATGTAGCCTATTGATGAAAAAAAATGAGAATCACTCATAAGTTTCAAAGATTACCTTCCTCATATAAACTTACGACATTTACCTCTTCATAATGTAGATAGTAAAATTATAAAATACTTGTTTATGCCGTCAATAAAATGAATATTGTAGATGGGATATATTTTATTTTTCCTTTTAACTTAACATTAGTTCATTAAAACAATGCATAAATTTAATGTTTCATCCTACGGTACCCTTGCCTCGGTGTGCGACACAGACTCGCACTTATTCATTTTTTTTATCAATAGGCTGGTTTGTTTTAAATTGAGAAATAGAAAACATTATTATCACAACATTTATTGAAGAAGAAATACAATATCCATATTATACTTATGATAATCGACCAAAAACTGCGAGCATTTTCTAAAGGCTGATTCTTGAATATTACGTTTCGTGGAGTAAAGAAATAGCCTGCAGTCAGGCAGCCTGTTTCGTTCGTTTGGCGTCAAGCAAATATTGTAACCGGGATCGTCAGTCACGTGTTAAAGTTGAGAAAAATCGGTTGTGTCGTGACTAGATGAAATATACAACGACAGCAGCGACTCATATTAAAATACAATTATTTTCAACTTTAATATTATATATTTTAATATTTATTGAACGCGCCGTATTATAAAAAGCCAAGGAAGCAACCTTTTATCGGCGACTGATGGCATCTGTTACAGAAGTATACTGACTGACCATATTTTTTTATGATTATATTAATATTGTTCACAGATTTTGGTCGCTCACCTCACGGGCTATTATAGTTAACATTTACGATTAAATATAAAATAATCATTTTTTCTTCAACTTACAGATATCACCATTAATTGGGGCATGCTTCTTTTTGGGACTTTTCACGATAATGTATGTGGTTCACAAAGTACATTTTGCAAGAATTGCCAAAAATCGAAGGTAAAATTAAAACAAAACTTATTTTAACTGTTATATTTATATTATTTCATAATTTGATGTTATTCATCCATATATATTTTATTACAGGGTTCAATTTGCCTACACAAGTGTTTACAGCCCTACAGCTGTGCCAGAGAAAAATACAGAGAGTTAACCTTTCTTTACTATTTGACCTTTTATAATATTGGTCAATATTATAAAAGGTCAAAAAATTATATATCATACATATTTATATATTTAATTCGGTACTTATATGTTAAGTAGATGAACTAGTAGTTACCCAGAATATTTTAGTGATGTCAAAGAATTTTTGTGATATAATAATTAATTATGATGCCCTCAACGTGGGCCATAAACTATACGTAATAACTAATACGTTAGTGGACATATATGTCTTAATTAATTCAGTCATTTAGAGGCATACGTTAAAATACGAAATCTAAAGTGAAATAAGACTGATTAAAATATAAACAAAAAACCTATAGATATCTATTATCTATTTTAGTTGACTTAAGACTGTTTCTACAACATATTTTATATAACAAAAAAGATTAATATAAATGTCTGTAGTAACAATCTAATAAATATTTTGGCTAAATAAAAATTTGCTTATGTGAAAAAGACATAGGATATGTATAGTTTTTTTGTATTAAAAGATAGTTTTTACTTATAGTAAGTGCAGAGGGTAAGAGGGCCACGATCAAATCCTAAGCTAAAAATTGTGTTACTATTTCTTTATAATACCATGTGTCAATGCACATGAAGCAACTGTTTGTCAATATTGTTTTGCAACTTGCATGAAAATGTAACATTGACTACTAAGACCCACTGAACAAAATAATTGAATTGAAAATATGTATATGTAACACGTCAACATCAAAATCAGATTAATATTAATATATTTTTAGTCATAAACTTAAAACCTAAAACTTTGCCAAGTTATATAGTATCCACAGGGTTCATTTACTTTCATCAGAGAATAAGAGAAATATGTCTAAAATTTGTGTGATATATAATTGATTATTGATTTATACTTTTGAAAATAAAATATGCATATGTGAAATATGAATGAAATATATATTATCCAGAAATAAAATATGAATAAAGAAAAGGAATGGGGTTTTATTGGTAGTTAGTAGGTAATGGTATTATTGAAGCATTATCAATAATGTAGTTCTACAAAATTTAAAACCTCGTGCATTAAGTTAATTCAATAAAAAATGGTGGTAACCATTAATTACTACATATTAAATTACAGTACCTGGCCTACCGAGCTTCGCTCGGATTTTTTGGCCTAAGGTACAATTTAAAAAAAAACTAAAAACTTGAATAAATATAAAAAAAAACAAAGGTAAAAACTTTGTGTGCGACCGAGATTCGAACCTGGACACCTGTGATTGTCGATCTTGCACCTTGGCCGCTTGACCACGATGCTTACATTACAGCGTGCAAATTACCGACCATATTTTGCGTGGAATAATGCAAAAGAAAACTGCATGAAAACTCGAAAATACGCGTTTTCTCAGACATAAGACTATTCTAAATCAATTTATCGTCCCCGAAACCCCCAGCATGCTATAAATTTCATGAAAGTCGTTGGAGCCGTTTCCGAGATTCAGATTATATATACACACAAGAATTGCTCGTTTAAAGATATAATTACGATTAAAGATATAATTACGATGATTCCCAGCAATATAATTCTACCTCTACAGAATTATTAATACGATTTACGAAGTTGGCGAACAAACATACAAATTGCAGACTAAAGAATACAAATGATCGAGAGGTCGCCAAAAATATTACAAGTCAAAAATCGTAGCGTTAATTTGCTCTTTATGCTACTACAAATACTAGGTACCCTGGCACCAGGAGTGTGATCCAAATTTCAATTAATTTGTTTGTGATTTTGCAGTTGAAAAAAAATAATATAGAAAAAAACATTTTCAGTTTTTCTCCCAATTTTCCAGCCAAGTTTTGTCTTTTTTCGCTAAAAACATAATCCACATTATTATATTTTTAAAAAAGTGCGTGTGTATGCAATTCACTTATGCTACGAATAAATAATAAGTCAGCGACTCATATTAAAATACAATTATTTTCAACTTTAATATTATATATTTTAATATTTATTGAACGCGCCGTATTATAAAAAGCCAAGGAAGCAACCTTTTATCGGCGACTGATGGCATCTGTTACAGAAGTATACTGACTGACCATATTTTTTTATGATTATATTAATATTGTTCACAGATTTTGGTCGCTCACCTCACGGGCTATTATAGTTAACATTTACGATTAAATATAAAATAATCATTTTTTCTTCAACTTACAGATATCACCATTAATTGGGGCATGCTTCTTTTTGGGACTTTTCACGATAATGTATGTGGTTCACAAAGTACATTTTGCAAGAATTGCCAAAAATCGAAGGTAAAATTAAAACAAAACTTATTTTAACTGTTATATTTATATTATTTCATAATTTGATGTTATTCATCCATATATATTTTATTACAGGGTTCAATTTGCCTACACAAGTGTTTACAGCCCTACAGCTGTGCCAGAGAAAAATACAGAGAGTTAACCTTTCTTTACTATTTGACCTTTTATAATATTGGTCAATATTATAAAAGGTCAAAAAATTATATATCATACATATTTATATATTTAATTCGGTACTTATATGTTAAGTAGATGAACTAGTAGTTACCCAGAATATTTTAGTGATGTCAAAGAATTTTTGTGATATAATAATTAATTATGATGCCCTCAACGTGGGCCATAAACTATACGTAATAACTAATACGTTAGTGGACATATATGTCTTAATTAATTCAGTCATTTAGAGGCATACGTTAAAATACGAAATCTAAAGTGAAATAAGACTGATTAAAATATAAACAAAAACCTATAGATATCTATTATCTATTTTAGTTGACTTAAGACTGTTTCTACAACATATTTTATATAACAAAAAAGATTAATATAAATGTCTGTAGTAACAATCTAATAAATATTTTGGCTAAATAAAAATTTGCTTATGTGAAAAAGACATAGGATATGTATAGTTTTTTTGTATTAAAAGATAGTTTTTACTTATAGTAAGTGCAGAGGGTAAGAGGGCCACGATCAAATCCTAAGCTAAAAATTGTGTTACTATTTCTTTATAATACCATGTGTCAATGCACATGAAGCAACTGTTTGTCAATATTGTTTTGCAACTTGCATGAAAATGTAACATTGACTACTAAGACCCACTGAACAAAATAATTGAATTGAAAATATGTATATGTAACACGTCAACATCAAAATCAGATTAATATTAATATATTTTTAGTCATAAACTTAAAACCTAAAACTTTGCCAAGTTATATAGTATCCACAGGGTTCATTTACTTTCATCAGAGAATAAGAGAAATATGTCTAAAATTTGTGTGATATATAATTGATTATTGATTTATACTTTTGAAAATAAAATATGCATATGTGAAATATGAATGAAATATATATTATCCAGAAATAAAATATGAATAAAGAAAAGGAATGGGGTTTTATTGGTAGTTAGTAGGTAATAGTATTATTGAAGCATTATCAATAATGTAGTTCTACAAAATTTAAAACCTCGTGCATTAAGTTAATTCAATAAAAAATGGTGGTAACCATTAATTACTACATATTAAATTACAGTACCTGGCCTACCGAGCTTCGCTCGGATTTTTTGGCCTAAGGTACAATTTAAAAAAAAACTAAAAACTTGAATAAATATAAAAAAAAACAAAGGTAAAAACTTTGTGTGCGACCGAGATTCGAACCTGGACACCTGTGATTGTCGATCTTGCACCTTGGCCGCTTGACCACGATGCTTACATTACAGCGTGCAAATTACCGACCATATTTTGCGTGGAATAATGCAAAAGAAAACTGCATGAAAACTCGAAAATACGCGTTTTCTCAGACATAAGACTATTCTAAATCAATTTATCGTCCCCGAAACCCCCAGCATGCTATAAATTTCATGAAAGTCGTTGGAGCCGTTTCCGAGATTCAGATTATATATACACACAAGAATTGCTCGTTTAAAGATATAATTACGATTAAAGATATAATTACGATGATTCCCAGCAATATAATTCTACCTCTACAGAATTATTAATACGATTTACGAAGTTGGCGAACAAACATACAAATTGCAGACTAAAGAAGACAAATGATCGAGAGGTCGCCAAAAATATTACAAGTCAAAAATCGTAGCGTTAATTTGCTCTTTATGCTACTACAAATACTAGGTACCCTGGCACCAGGAGTGTGATCCAAATTTCAATTAATTTGTTTGTGATTTTGCAGTTGAAAAAAAATAATATAGAAAAAAACATTTTCAGTTTTTCTCCCAATTTTCCAGCCAAGTTTTGTCTTTTTTCGCTAAAAACATAATCCACATTATTATATTTTTAAAAAAGTGCGTGTGTATGCAATTCACTTATGCTACGAATAAATAATAAGTCAGGAAATGCAACAGCATTAAAAAAATCCACCAACAAAAGTCGTGTCCTAGTAGACGGGGCTTTAGAGTCGTGTCCTGCGCGACAACAGTCGGACATTATACTTGCAAGCGAGCACACTTCAAATTTTCGCGTACGTTTAAATTTTTATCATTGTGAACTGCAGCTTTGAATTATCATGCCAACATGTGTTGTGAAGTGGTGCAGGAGCCATACAAAATTAAAATGTCCAGGAATCACTTTTCAGGCGACTTCCAAAAAGGAGGAGGTTCTCAATTCGTCTTAATCTTTTTTTATGGACGTTCACCGATTACTCGAAGACGCCTGAACCGATTTGGTATTTTTTTTGTTTCAAAGGACTCCCCAAGTGGTCCCATATAAATTTTATAAAAATCGGTCGAGCGGTTTTTAAAAAATCAACAATAATTTTTTTTTTAAATAAATTGTTTAATCGAACATGTTATTAAAAAACTTTCTTCTCACAAATTAGCTGCTTCTTACGTCTACACAGAAAATGGAAAAATAAAAACTTAAAAAGATAAATATTTTTTGGAAAATCTTATTGAAATAAGCATTATTATCGATACAGAGGCCGAATCTATAGTTTTTAGAATTTTTGTGTGCCTGTCTGTCTGTTACCGCATAACAGGGAAACTACCTACAATAATATTTATTTATTATTATATTTGCCAAATTTCATGAAAATCGGTTTAGCCGTTCATTTTACGCGTGATTAACAAACAAACTTACCATCATTCACGTATTTTAGACTATTAGTAGAATTATAATTAATTATATAGTAAGATTATTCTAGCATTGCATCTCTTTGACTCTATTCGGATTGTATCGCTCGTAGGCAGTAAACTATGCCGCGCGCTTATGTGGCGTATTCTTTGATCGGTGTTCTGGTATAATAGTGCGTGGATTGTTTTATGCTTTCTTGCGTTCATAACGTGAAATGTGGTTCAAGTACGCTTCCGACTTCAATGTAGTTGTAGACGCTATTAAACAGTCTATCGTTACTAGTTTACGTTGCGAGACGGAACGACCGAATCGACTGTATGGACTCGTCGCGACCACCGTAGTTAGATTATGCTTTGTTAGTTCGTAATGATGACTTTTTTTACTGAATAAATTAATAATCTTAAAATTTAATTGTAATAATTATGTAAAATTAATACGAATTCTACTACGTATTTCTAAATAAAAGTGCATGTTATTATTATTTTTTAAAACTCGCATACAAATGTCAAACCACTGTTGTAAACATTAGAGTTGAAATTAATTTACATTCTGTTTTAAAAGGACGACAAATGAACTCCTTGTTTACGTCTGTCTCAGTCTATGAATTGAACTAGTTCATTTGAAATACGTGAACCGTCGAACCGTCGACGCATCGTCGACCGGTTGATTGAACTAGTCCGTTCTTTCAACGCCCATCGCTAATTGGGGATATTAATCGCCTTAAATATATGGACGCAGCCTCTGGAAGAGTGTGTTATATTTTTAATATAATTTTAATATTTTTAATATAGTCCACTCTCGGGGCGACGTGATTGGGAGTCTAAATATATATATATATATATATATATATATATATATATATATATATATATAAAATATTTTGAGAAAATTAAGGTGACAGAAGTTACCGAGGCTTAAAGTTACAACATTTGCATAATATATTTTTATACGTTAAATAAATCATGACAAAAGATAAACATAGCTTTACTGAATATGATTAAAGTAATGCAAACTAAAATTCAAAGTAAACAAGAATTTGGTCACTTAACGGTGCATATATATAAATTCTAAAATTTTCATAAATTTGGATTTTATTATACATTTAACCCATTTTATTGGTTTTATTATCAAATACTAGTTTTAAGATCAAAAAAATTCTGAAATTTTAATTTTCTTAAAAAAAAAATTTTTTTACTCAGAATCGATTAAATTTAAAAGAATCGATTCTTGAGATTGAAGAATCGATTCTGTATTTTCTTTATTATATATAGGGGATATTCTTAGTATTCCCCAATTTGTTGTTTTCTTACATTTTGATTATGATAATACCATCAGTTAGCACGATTTTATTTGTGTTTTCAAATATTGCAGGCAACTCGAACACACCCAAAAAATATCATTAAAATCGTCCCTGCCGTTTAGACGATGAACCCATTGAATGATGATGAACCACACAAAATTTCAGCTAAATCGGTCCAGCCGTTTAGGAGGAGTTAGGTGATTAACACACGTACAGAAGAATTATAATATATATTTATTTTATTTTATTAAAGAGCATTAATACCAAGTTTCAAGTAAAGTTTCAAGTGATTCTGATCATAAATATTTTTTTGGATTGTATTATAACGTGTTTTCCCGTGGGAATTAGATAATTTCCCGCGGTAAAAAGTAGCCAATGTCACTCTCCAGCCCTCCAACTATCTTCACACAAAAAATCACGCTAATCCGTCACTTCGTTTCGACGTGAAAGAAGGACAACCAAATAAACACATTTTCACATTTATAATATTAGTATGGATATTAAGAGATTAGTATAACAATGGCTTTAAAAAAAGCAAAATGTTTTTAATATGTATACGTTATTAAAGTTACATAATTCATCAAATATTAGAATGTTCTATTATCTTTAGAAAAATAAAGTTATTGCATCGATAAAATTATAACAAACACATCGTGCCACCACCATGGTCCATGGATGACAAATAAAGAACATCACTAGTAAATAAACGTCAAGTGAAGTGTATCATTCAAGGTAGTGAGTGATTTTTGCAAAATTTGTTTTATATATTTTGCATAACAAAACATGACAAAAGTTAAAAATTATCGCACGTAATCAGTGAAAATACATATGGTGAATTAACTTGATTCAGCTTAGTAGGTTTTAAGTGCAGAATTCATGTGTTTACGGTCTGTTCTACAAATAATATGGTCATGTATCTTTCATTATTTTTATAAACACAAATAAGTTGTTCTTTGGCTCTTTATTTTAATAATAATGTAATTTGGAGTTAATATTTTTAAATTAGAAACTTTATATCTACTCAATTCTTATTAAATA